GAGACGCGGAGAGAAAAACTCTGCGGAGGTAAAGAGGGACAGCTGTAGGAAAAGAGAGAGAAATGATGGAGGGATAATAAAGAGAAGAGCGTCCACAGTGGGATGAAGTGCACTGCCTGCGTTTCACTCTGCTGCACAAAACAATCACAAGCCAAGCACCTCTCTCTCCATCCATCCATCTATCTGGAAAATAAAAAAAAATGAGTGGAGGAGGAAGAAAGAGGGAGAGAGAGGAAGGGAGGAGTGATGGAAAGAGAGAGAGAGAGAGAGAGAGAGAGAGAGAGAGAGAGAGAGAGAGAGAGAGAGGCTTGTGATAGTGAGAACAAAAAAGTCCTCACCCACACAGGTCAGAGCAAAATCACAATCCGAAAAAAAGAAGAGGGATTTTAAACTTTCTCTCTCTCCGTCGGCCCAAAAGCTGCTGCTGATCACACATACACACACATTGAACTCACAACCCAACACTGATAGTAATCACAGTAATAAAGCTCAAACAGACACAAACCATTATTTTCATCTGTCCCTTACTTTTTCCAATAATATATGACTTCTTTATTCTATATAATATATGAAACTATTAAATAATACTCATCACATGTCCACTGTAGCATCTCTAAACAGCCCCACAGACAGTGGATATAGTGGACAGAGCTTTCAGGTCTGTGGAGTGAAGCCAACACTGAAACCTGCATTCTTTTTAATGGCCAGCGGGGGGGGGCAATAATAGAAGTCCAATCCTACTGAGTATTATGAATATTATGGAGAAATTAACCTACTTCTCACTTGATTTATTAGCTCAGTAAACAGTTTCCTAATGAGTTTCAAGCCTTTTTCTAAATGATGGCCCCATGTTGAGTAAAGTTTCTCTGAATGCTTGGAAGGCTGAGCTGTATTCAAATGGTTGCAATCTGCAACTTCACTGCTAGATGGCACTACATCCCACACACTGGTTCATACAGTATAGGCCAGGTCACAAGCTCTTAAACCGGCATTCTTCACATCTTCATTATGGACTTTAAAATATTTGAAGTCATCGATCGAGTATCCGAATGTTACTATTGCTCAACAAAACCCCCTCGGGAGGACTTTGACTCTTCCTATTCAGTCAGAGTTGATTTCTTTAATAATAAATCCACCCTCAACCTCAACGAGTAGTTCTCCTTTTAAGCACGACCCTCACCTTTCTCTAACCTTGAGTGAGTTGGGTTCACTAGTAGCACTATGGAGCAAAGTGTCTCTGGTTCGTACAGCACTTTGGTCAACAAGGGTTGTTTTTATATGTGCTTTATAAATATGATTTGATTTAAAGCTCCACAGGGAACCTTTAACCACATGTTAACCATGAGGCGTTGATCAGAAAACTCTAATATGAAATCATTCTATAACAGTTATATGAGTGTACAGTATACCATAACCACATACACTAATATAATAATAATAATAAACACACATGCTGGGCTCCAGGTGCTCTGATTTCATGTCTCTATATTTCAGACAGGCGGTGAAGCTGCAGCCATCTGCTGATCGTGTTCAATGATGCAATGATGTAAAGATAAAGTCAGACTACAGGTGGAGACACCCTCCCTCTCTCTCCAACACGTCCTCATACTGAATCAGTGACTCCCAAAACTGTATATGACAATGGGGGGGGGGTTCCAGCAACAGGCAGGCGTACTGGACCTTTGTCGTCATGGTTTCTGTTCAAATAAGCACGTTACAGAAGTTACGTATGTTACGTTAATTAAAATGCTGACCTTTGGTTTCACACGGGACACAAATGTCGGTCTCCTGGGTGAATGTTCTGTGTTTGACCCATCTATCCACTGGAGCTGTGTATTAGCAAGAGTCTGGTGAAAGGATATGTATCACCAAACAGGGGTTACGATTCAATGTATTGAGATATATTGTGATATTGTAAGCAAGGCGATATATATTGATATGAGATATTTAAAATCTAATTTTAGGAAAACTGTCCGAAGAGCAAAAAAGTCTTTGTTAGATCCGAGATCATAACCCTCGGTTTATGTCGGGGTGCAGTGTTTCTGAGAATGGAGACAATATCACAAAACAAAATATCGTGATATTATGATTTCGATATTTTCTTACACCCCTACTTTCCACCCCGACCTCACCCGACTTCCTCCTTTGTTCCCGCCTAATAATAAACGTAAACACGGGTCGTAATAAGCTGCTTGCATAGACGACCAATACAGTCATATTTCTGGGGAGGACTGTGTCTCTCCCACTGTAGGGCACAAACTGGTGGGAATTGGCTGATACTGGGAACCAGTCCGAACCATTCGATTAGCTGAAGATAGTTTAAAAGCTGTTATTTTGAGGCAGAGCTCGTTTAAAAATCCATTTTTCTCTCCTGTCTTACATCCCCTCTTAGTGTGAAACTCTCGCTCCCTCTCTGCACTCCACCAAGCTAAGCCACCGTCTTCTGTTTAATCCCTTTATTTAAACAAACATTCATGTTAAAGCCCCCTCTCTCAAAGTGCTTTTACTCTTTTACTTTTTTCTCCACTTTTATTCTGTTTCATCACTTTTATCTCTCTTTTCATCCTTTAGTCTGCTCAGCCTCGTGTCGACTGTTTATGTGCTTAACAAATGCTGTGTTGTTTCACATGATACCGGCATAAATAAACTCGTATTATCCACTGTGTGCTTTAGGAGGAGGAAGGCACACAAACATGCCTACATTAGAACTCATCCCAGCTTGGCACTAGCTGCAGATTTCATCCATCGCTGCAGCTGCTGAGGTAACGTTTGGATGGAGCACAGAAAAAAAAAGATGAGAAAGAGGGACGGGGGGGGGTCGCTGGAGTGTGATCTGTTACGCAATCAACACCATCAGAACAAACATCGCGGCTGAAAAACAAGAAACATACTGACATTTTATGTCTTGGGAGATGTTGGGTGTCAAACAATAAGAAGGTGGTTGAACCTCCTGACTCCCGGTCTGGTCCCATCGGCGGTGAACTGCATGTTGTGATGATCTGATGTGTGTTCTCATTATTCAGTCTTTTGTGCCGGCTCAAAGCAGTAGAGCCAAATTTTCATTATTTTCATCGGCGACAGATCTACTGATGATTTTTCTATTAGTTCTTTTGTGTAAATAACGTCAGAAAATAGTGATGAAAGTCCAAAGTGACGTCTTTAACGGTCAAAACTTAAAGAAATTCAGTTTTAAAATGATATAAAGCAGTAAACCTTCACATTGGAGAAGCTGGAACCAGCTGACTAATTATCTGTCGACTAATGATTAAATAAAATAAACACTTTAACCCAACAGAAAGTTCACCTGTAATGTTTTAAACACACACCAGAACTGATTGTTATTCTGCTAACTGTTGTCATTGTAATCACTCGTGATAATTAGTAGGACCAGAATTATTTTACTGTCCCCTCGCTGTCTCACATTAAAGTGTCCAGTTCCAAAAGCAGAGAACTCAAATTAAATAGGAAACTACTGGCGAGTCCACGTTTTGTAATTAACTAAAATCTCAAGATACAATTAGACACAATTATTGTTCATCCACTGCTGGATGCTCATATTGGAGATCTGCTGTTTGCCATCTGTGTAGAGCTCTGCCTGTGTGTGTGTGTGTGTGTGTGTGTGTGTGTGTGTGTGTGTGTGTGTGTGTTGCGGCAGCAGAAACTTAATGTTTTGGCTGACATTTAAAAGGGAGGATGTACTTTCCTTCAGGTGGACAGGGGAAACACTTAGGAGGGCTGACGAAGGGTTTAATATGCGGGGAAAAACCCCTGTGGGCCCGCGCGCACGCACCGACGTGCACGCACGCACACACAAACACACACACACACACACACACACACATTCTGCAGCTCCATCCATCTCTTTCGTTTTCTCCTTTTTGTTTCTTCCTTTCTTATGCGCGCTCACACACACACACACACACACACACACACACACACACACACACACACACCGGAGAACTGCACTGGCGCAAACATGCACGCACACGCGCAAAAAAAAAAAAAACCCCGCACAACCTCCATCTCCTGCGCACGCAAAACGCAGAGAACAGAGCCTACAGAGACCCACACAAACTCTGCAGCCCGCCCCTCTCTCTCTCTCTCTCTCTCTCTCTCTCTAACTCACACACACACACACACACACACACACACACACACACACACAAGCTCGCACGCACTTTCTCTGCACCCCCTCTCTTTCCAGCATTAGTCAATAGAGTCAGGATACATAAACCACCCACCAGTCACCCAAAGCATCTCCCAGCCAAACCCTCTCTCTCTCTCTCTCTCTCTCTCTCTCTCTCTCTCTGCAACAGCACATATGCAACCTGCAGCAGCTTCAACACATCCACAGCAACAACAAAAAAAAAAAAACCCCATCACCACACTAGTCTCAAATTCCCAACCAAACCACATCAAACATCTGGAGTTGGCTGAATCCTGCAGGAATTCTGGGTAAACAGCGCATCCAAGATCGCTTATTATCAGCATGTAGAAGCAGTTCAGCGCAACCAGCTCCAAGTGCTACGAAGGTGTAATACAGTCAGGACATCACGGGGGAGGGATGGAGGGCACATTTTTTTCTAATAAACACAACATTCAGAGAGATAAATCGGCCTCCTGAGGGGTTAAAGCACATCTGGGAGACTGTGCGAACAGTCACAAGCACTTGAAATAGATTTCAGTTGGAGGCAAAACCAGAAGAAAACGCACCAAAGTCTTAAAAATAATCTTCACACAGCTTCATTATCCGGTTTCTGCTCTGTTAAAAACTGATACTCCACATTATGGCCGACGGTTCGTTTTTTTGGGGGGAAACCGGGGTTAACATTGACTACAGGTAGCAGAGCCGAGGCAACATTTCAACGGCCACAGCTGTAGTTCATTAATCAATTACAGATGCTTACAGGTGTTAATTCCCGCCGTGTGCGGGGTTTTAATCCGGATTTGAAAGCCAAAAAAAGAAAGAGAGAACAGTCGGTGTTCGGGGTGTTTCTTACCTTTATTTTCGGAGACCCTCTCGCTCCGTCTGTGTTGGGAAAGATAAAAAATAAAAACAACCGTTGCTCTCCAAATTAACGATTAGTCCCCTCTCCCCGGGGGTCTCGCGCACCTCACGTGCGGCGGTTTCCCACTCTCTCTCTCTCTCTCTCTCTTTCTGTGTGCTCTCTGCGCGTATCTCTGTCTGTCTGTCTCTTCTTTTCTCGCGGGATTTCCTCCTCCGCCTTCCTCTTGTCTTCTTCTCCTTCTTCTCCTCCTCCTCCTTTATTCGTCTTCAGCTCCGAGGTATCAGCTCGTTCTCCTCGCGCCACTTGGACGGAGACGGAGCGGCTCGCGACGCTTCTGCTGCTGCTGCTGCTGCTCCTCCGCGCGACCCATCCTGGTGTGAGCGGGTTTCTGCTGCGGCGGGAAAGAGGAGAGGAGGGAAACAAGCTCTCTCTCTCTCTCTCTCTCTCTCTCTGTCTCTCTCTCTCAGTCCTGAAGCTACAGGTGATGGAGGAACATGAGTTGGCGTGTGGCGGCGGCGACGCTCCCTGCAGGGCGTCCTGGTTCCTGGAGTACGCACCAGTAACTGCGACGTTGCTGGTTTGAGACCACAAGCCTATATCCTCTCTCTCTCTCTCTCTCTCTCTCTCTCTCTCTCTCTCTCTCTCCACGTTTTCTCACAGTTTAATGACCACTAATGGTGAAATTTCAGGAGGGAATATGTGTACTTTTTACACCTCTATATTTATTTGTTTTATATATTAGTTATAAATGAACATTTTCCATTAAAAAGAGGTTCAGTTCATAAAATGGGGCATTTGTATTGTTTCAATCAGTGGAAGGATGCAAGCATAGGCTACTAGGTTACTCAACTACATGCTTTTTTCACTCCAGTAAGCTACATTTATTTCTAAGCTTAGTTTGAAGATTAAGATTTCACACACAAAATATACGATGAGCCTACAAAATATAATGCAACAGTAGCCTATATTACAATTGTTAAAAAAAGGGGTTAAATTAGTTAAAACCTCCACTAACTGCAACAACAAAATGCTACTTATGCATTCATGATGAGCAACAGTAAAAGACACATTCACTATTTGCTATTTTTATGCTTTATGGGTGCTTTTATTTTGTTTATTTAAGTGCATTTTGCTCATAATACCTAAAGGACCAGTGGATTTAGGGACACATATGGCAAGATTGGTAAGAACCCCTTGATTCAACCATCTGTCCACAGCCGGTGTTTGGCGTACCCCGTAGAAGAGGACCCCTCTCCCTCTATAGATAAAAAACGACTCATTCTAAGGTAACAAAAACACAAGACTGATTCATTTCAGGTGATTATACACTAATGAAAACGTACCTGTGAATATTATATCCCATTTCTGCCAGTAGATCCTCCTAAATGTTACACACTGGAGCTTTTTACTGAAGTATCTGATTGCTTATTGCTTATACTTTAATGCAGTAATAACAGTAAAAACACTGACAGGGGCCATTCTGCATAATGAATGCTTTTACTTGAAATTCTCTACACTTTGCTGATATGTACCTTTCCTAATAGTAGTAATTTGACTATTGATCTGTTAACGCTGCCATAGACTTTCTTTTAAATCCAAATTACTGTCATCTATTATATGTAATCTATTACCCTCAGTGATCCATTTAACAGCATATTGCCATGGAAACTGCTGACACCAAAACATCTATTAACAGCTGTATAAAGTACAATAAAAAAATATATGTTATTATTCTCCATCAGAGTTTTGTTGATATTAACACCCCTTCAAAGGTTTCTCTATCAAAGTGTTAATTAAGTTTCTGACCAGCGTTTCAGAAACTTTCATCTATGCCTGTCTTCCTAATTAGAGCTGTCAATCATTGCTGGGGGGGTCCCAGGTGCACAGGCCAGCTGGAGATTGGAGGGTGCAGCCTGAATGCTGAGGAGGCTTTGAAGCAAAGGTCCAGTTAGACCTGCACTGAAAGTAAATGATGACCTCAAGTACTTCATGAAGGGAAGGTTGTGGAGCAGCAGTGTCCGGACTTTAAAGAAGCAGGCGGGCGGACAGAAGTTTACTAGTTTTAGACTTGAAGACGCAATCAGGACAGGGGGAAACAGGAAACTTTAAACGAAAACGCCTCCCCCAACTAATGCAATTTTTTTTTTAAGCTTTCACCATTCTTTGCTCCCCTACAGCTCCTTGTGTTTCCACATTCATTTGATAACTTGTTTACTATTCTCATGCCTTTTCACAGCACTTCTACCACAAATCTGAGGTGCTTTGAAAAGGTTGCTGATATTTCTTCACCTTGACAGATGAGGAAACCCTTTGGGGGCAACACTGCAGAGCAGCGAGTCCAAAGAGCAGAAAGTGAGAACAATTACTCCAGCAGCTATCAGTTGCTGCATCACTAGTGCAGAAGCAGACTGTGTATATATAACCTTTATATGTGTTTAATTATTTGGATATAAAATCTGAACTCTCATCTTGACCTTTGAATATAAAGCCAATATATAATAATATATTCAAACAAACACCAGAAACAACGTTTTCTGAGAAAGAAAGTTCTGTACCATGTAGAGTAGTGTTCACACTCATTGTTTGACTCACATCCTTGAAGCCTAAATGTGTTTAATGCTGTTTCTTCCTTATTAAACATTTGCAGAGCAGATTTGTTGGATAAATCAGAAACCTCTATTGTTAAAATCCATATTATAGCTCAATGTTGTCTTTTTCCTCATTTTATTAGCTGACTTTTGTTGGTGCATTGCAGTGTGTCTTAGGACATTGCCACCATCAGTCGTCAAGAAGTAGAATAGAGCAATGAGCGTGAGGCAGCTGGACTTGCCAGTCTTTAATCTGCGTTTGTGGTCAGTTCTGTACCAATTAGCGTCAATGTCAGTAGCTTTGCAGATATTTTGACATAAATTATTGGACAAATTCTAATTTTGGCCTGATGATGGCGCTAGTCCAACAGTCAGGGATCCCTAACGTCTGTAGGATTCGTCCTATGGGGACCATGAATGTCTGAGCATCACTTTAAACTTAAAGATTTGGTAAACATATGTTCATCCCACTGAGCTCAATGACGTTATGTTGTTTTAAAAGAACATAACTCAATCTCAGTCTCACGCGGCATCAGATTTCGATAAGATTTAACTTCTTATCATTCATTTAGACACAAGAACTGTGAAGTCCTGATTCAAGAACGACAAATAGCTCCAACATCAGTCGGTCCGTTTGTTCACCACTTTCGTCCAGACTGAAATATTTCAACAACTATTAGTATCAGTGTAGAAGATAATGCTCTCATAAGAAGTCTGATATCACAGTAATACAGTTATAAACACCCACCACTATGTAACTGTAATGGGACATTCAACTATCCCAAATAAAATGTCATTGAACTGAATACGCAGCGTGTACTAATCTTGTCTGGTGCTAAATGTTCCAAAGGGAATGAATGAATGTGTGTATGTATGTGTGTGTGTGTGTGTGTGTGTGTGTGTGCTCAGGAACACGTATAATCCATCATAACGCAGACACCTGGTGCCTCTGCCATTACTCCTGCGTGGTCTGGACTGTGTGTGTGTGTGTGTGTGTGTGTGTGTGTGTGTTTGTTCTGCCCAGTGTGTGGGAGTCGGTATCCATGGGACACCTGATTCAATTACTGGATCGTCATAACGAGATGAATGGAAAGGCAGAGAGGGGAGGAAAGGGTGAGAGAGCTAAGGGAGGAAGGGATGACGGAAAGGAGGAAGAGCAAGGGGGGGAAAGGAGTAAAGGGACATAGGAGGAGTAAAAGAGGGCAAGAAGAAGATGTAAGAGGGAAATTAAGTGAGTGAGGAAAGAATGAAAGGAATGGACGAGGAGGAGAAACGGTAGGTGGATAACAGAGCAGGAGAAGAGGAGAGTGGATGAAAAGAGAGATGGATGAGAGGAGGGAGAGAGACTGTGTGACATTTTCCAGAACAGCCGCTCGTTGATGTGAAAGCACTGCGACGAGTGTGTGTGTGTGTGTGTGTGTGTGTGTGTGTCTGTGTGTGTGTGCATGTAGACACTGTTTAAGCTCAGACTAATCCATTCGAGCCAAATTCTACACCCACACACACACACACACACACACACACACACACACTGAACCTACAGTATGAGGCATGCTACCATATAAGTAGAAGCCAAGAAGACAACCAAAAGCTTTATTTTACCTTTTGTTTTCTTCAACTTTTCTTTTCTACTGAGGTTTGCTGTTCATAGTTCCTTCGTTACCATTACTGTCATCTCCAGACATGTTTTAGTTCATGAAAATACTCATTATTTGAATAATAATTTGCCACACATATACCATTAAGCAATGGTTTTTAAATTGAAAAAAGGAAATATTTTGTTATATGTGTTATATTTAACAAATAAATATACATTTAATTTAACCAGCATGCCCAGAGGTCTTTCTTCAACCTCAGTTTGTTTAAAGGTCACGTCACCCAATGAGTCTTTGCATTACAGTCCATATAACAACAATAACCAAACTGAGGTGGATAGCTAGTAGGAGTAGAAAGCAGAAGAGTAAATTTAAGCTTATCCAGAGAAGGTGGAGCTTGATGAGCAAAGACTTTACCCCCCCGAAAGAGTTTTTAAACCTAGGAACAGTTAAATATCAGGAGAAGATAAAGGACTCCCTGTTATACCTCTTATAAACAGGTTATAAATGGTTGTAAAACTCCAATAATAGAAATACAGAGACCTATTTTGGCTTTAAAATGGGCAATCACAGATGGAAGATAAAAATATTCTTTGTATTGAACCTGTTTTAGTTTAATTTCAAAGTCACGTTTATACACAATTCTCATAAAAGTAGGAAAAAGTCATCCAGTATCAAGCTGATGAAGCCATTTTAAGTGTGTTTTTGGGTTGTTTAAGGGCTCCAGGGACAGAACAATGTGTTTAGAAGACGCTTGCCAAAGAGTTTTGTTTGTGTTTGTAATAAATTAGAACGGGGGACAGACAGGGAAGTCACACAATAATTTAAAAAAATGTTTATTATGAACTGAATTTTAAAACAAATTATGATCGGGAAGCTGAAGCACACACAGTTTTAAATGGAAATAACCTTAGATACTCCGTATGTCCGCACTGATCCTGTTAGAGCTGGTTTCAGGTATATGTACCATTAAATACATCTTAAATGCCCACATTCCTCCTCTTTATGACTCCTGTAATTGTTTTTAATAAATGTTAGTCTGTAGCTTGACTGGGGTCGTCTGGCCTTATATCTCTGATTAGGAATGTTCTCTATTGATTAGCTGAGCTGATCCTTCACCTCCCCCTGCTGGTTAGTTTGTGTACTACACCACATGAACATCCTCATCCACATCTTCTACTGTTCCTGAATGTTCCTATTTCCTATATGGATATCAGTATCTATTTTTATTACTTTTTCACCGCATTGGTTGCAGTGTTGGATTATCTGGGAACTAAAATAAATTCTATATATTGTGTGTGTGTGTGTGTGTGTGTGTGTGCATGTAGAAGGATGTATGCACACTCATATAGACCGCTAATCGAAACATTCATAAACACACATTTCTCTCTGTCTGTGTGTCTGTGTGTGTGTCTGTGTGTCTG